ACGTAATTTAATTATTTCACATTAAAGCAAAATATTCAAATAGTAGATGGTGATGACTTGGTACCTCATAAATAAATATAATTAAGTTTGAATTCATCTGATATATATGTGACATAAAAATACATCTTTGTCATGATCAGTATATTTTTCAGTACATAACTTTTTTTTTTCCTCAACAGACACCGGCACAATTTATGGAAGATCAAAAAATTACCATTACAAAATACTTAATTAATTTGTTCATGAAATTTGCAATTATTCAGGCATTTTGACTGAATCTGCTATTTCTACTGAGGTGTTGACTGTCAAAAATGTTTTTACTTATTTTTTATACATATATAATTTATAGTTTTTCAGAAGTTTGTAGTATCTATTCAATTACTGTAAGGGGTTAACCATTAAAGTCTCAGGGGTGGGATGAAGAAAAAAAAATCCAACTGGGTAAATAACAGGGAAAAAATATTTACTTATAAAATAAAAAATATTTGATTGGAGAAACCAACCAATATTTTAGAGCAACATCATCTTAAAAAATCTGGTACAAAACAATAATGTAAAAAAAAAAAGAATAATTGCACATCTTTTCTACCATCTTCCCTTCCAGAGTTTCCAATAGTCAACATTTTGATCTTCCATCTTCTACCCTGCTGAGGTTTCCTTGCTGCAGTTTGTTAGTATATCCATGAAATGTGAATACAATTAATAACTTAGACACAACGTAAGTGAAAATCATGTAAATTTAATCAAAACTTTAGGGACACATTTGCTGGCTTTCTGCAAATTTTTGAAATGACAAAGGCATTTTTTTTGCAAACAAAAATATTTTTATTTCATAATTTCAATACGAGGTTGTTTTAGAATGGATTTAAGACAAGGTAGAAAAACTATTCACATTATTGTTTTATAAATTATTCAATTTCTATAAAATATATTTGTGTGATATTTCTTTGTGGAGATTCTATTGTATTTAAATTCATGCCTAGACAAGATAATAATGGTCAATTCCTAATTCTTGAAGTTAGCAACTCAACAGTGCTGCCTGCCAAAACAACATACAAACAAAGCTGCTAGAACTACAACAAATGGTTTCCCCTGGGGTTTTCCCTGGCAGAGTGCAACGAATTGTGATATTACTTGCCTTGTTACTTTATTTTAATAATCTTTCTTATTTTAAATTTCTATGGTGATAGCGAAGAAAAAGAAATGCCACTGCACAAAACTCAATGTCACAACCTATTAATGTAATGACCAGTCAAAAAAAGCATGAAGAGAAAGTACAAATTTTACACACTCAAGTTTTCTTGTATTGGTGTAGACGACTTACAGTGCAACCACTGTGAGGACGACTTACAGAGCAACCAGTGAAGTTGCAGGTACAAATGTTGTGTTTTCCAATTAAAGAAAATTACACAAAAGATTCACTGACAGACGAAATGATTTGTTCATTATTTAACTTTTTACTTTTTTGGCCAAGGTCAGCACTTAACCCTCCAAAGTAAAAGGACAACATAAAAGCCCCCATTCACCAATACTCATAAACTAAACTAAAGGAAATCCATCAGTACACGGGCCATTTACTGTCATTCGGAAACAACTATCTCAGATGTATAATAATAAAGACGTCGATTTTGATAATTACGCACCCTTGGCTAGATTTGATTTTCCAATCAAGTTCGTCTCATAATAAAGCTGCTGAAAGGTATGTCTGGTTTTCTACTTCGAAGGCTTTCATCCGTAATATTTTAAATTTAAATTGCATATAGCACTGGCGCCGAGCGCATACCGAGAAACCCCACGGAAACTAGTCGAAACGAACGACATCGGATTCAGTAAGCCAAACTTCAAGTTGCGTATTAAATCTCATGTACAGTTGAGTTTTTACAGTACAGGCTTTTAGTCTCACTGCAATTGTACAGAAGTGTAATCCATACTTTGAAAGTTTGAGGATCTATTTTACTTTGGAATGTCTTTGTAGAGTTTGAACGCCGTTCACCACTCCAATCGGGTCAACTCGAGTGGTGCCTTTTACACAACACTGGATTTCGCACTCCGGGAACAGGTGATCTGAAAAGCAGATTTTAGAACGAGTGGGCGCTCGTTCGGACCCCTGTGTTAATAAACTTCGTCAAGTATTTTCCACACAGTGATCTGTAATCAAACCTTTTTTGCCATACAAACAGGGGACGTTAAACGCGTTCCGCAATAATAAAATATACAAATCACTACGTGGCCTGCGACAAGGGAGGTATCAAAAGGTGTTGAAAAGTGGCATGTGGGTCTCAGGGTCGAAGTCTGCTTACCTTTATCAAAACCGTGAACGACAAAACAAGCAACAACATTAATCAGCAAGATTACAGATGTATCTACGTTTGCCATGGTAATAATAAACGATGACTTTTTTTCTGGCACCTGTTTGCTAGGCCTATGTATGTGAACGTTTACCCAACTTTTCAGCTTAGCTCCCGTGTCGTCTCAGTTCGCTGAATACACAAACCAAATGAAGTTGTTTCCACGGTCACGTGGTACTATTTACACTTTGGCGATAATAATGGTCTGTCCTCGGTCCCACGAAAGGGGCAATGTGATTATATCGGTATTTAACTAAATTTGTCCGCCATTATTTAATTTACAAATACTTTCAGTCGTTTAACGGTATCTTCTTCTGTCTACACACTCTAAAACAGTTGCGTAACTGAATTACCTTGAATATCCACGCCCCTTCGCGATGATAGTTTCGTCCATTTATCCTACTTCCGGTTTGCTTAATGTTGAAATCTTTGCACGCTGTACTGTATACACTCGCAGTCGCGATCGTCTACTTGCTGACGCGTGTATAAAAGGTAAATTTACTTTATGCGCTTCTCCACTAGAATATTTGCTCCTGCGATTACACACAATACAATTCATATCTTCACTTTCCACAGCCGGTATTTTAGCGGATAACTCCAGAAGCACAATATGTCTTTCCACGTTTCAACTTTCATCAAATTGGCCCATGCTCTATCCACAAGCCCCCCGCTCATGGGCCTACGGGGTTTAGGTTCATGCCTCGATGGAGGGACTTTGCTTAATCGTACGCTGGCGTCACGATCTTCATACGATCCTGTGTCGATCTTCACCTAGTGCACAGTCTCTATCAGTATCACAGACTTGTACAAGCAACCGGCGACTAAGTCACGATATCATGTACTTTTTTGATGATTCAATCATGACTACAAATTGCTTGAAATAAACGTGTTTGTAGAGACAACTTAAAATAAAGAGTAAAAAAAATACGTTAGCTTCAACGTACATATGGTACAGCCTATTTCGGTTAGGGCACAGTCCATCTACCTGATTGGTGGGGGGGGGGGGCTTCTTAGGGCTTACAAATCAAAATGGGGGGGGGGGTTGTGGAAAATATTCTATTCACAATAGTTGTAACAATTTTGTTATTAACATTTCCACAGTTTTTTTACATGATGATGCAGTCATAAAATTTTATTTGTTTTCACTTTACGCAAACATTATTTTCCTTCACAAAGTATGTGATTGTTTGAGTATGCTTACTAGAATTATGTAAACAAAATTGAAAAAAAAAACTTTTTTTTTATTCTTACTGGAAATTAGTTAATTAATTTAAAATAATCAAATATTAAAAAAGTGAGAATTAATTATATTTTAACATTATTACATCTTTGTTCCCAGATCATCGGTAGACATTTCAAACTCTATATTAACAAATCTTAATGATTTAATAATTGGAGCTGAAAATAACATAGAAAATCAGTTTGGCAAAATTATGCAGTTATGGAATTGATTGAAATATTGTTTTTACAATGACAATGATGCCTACATACATAAACAAAGTGTAGCACTTAGGGAACATTACTTAATACAATGTTGTTTTTGTATTGTATATGTGTTTTCCAGACACCATGGGCAAAGCTAACAAGCAAAAAAGTAAACTTGTCAAATTAAAACACAGCCGCAAGGGGAATGGTGCAGGCCAGCATGGAAATCAAAACAATCCTTTCAAAGTCTCCAGTTTCAAAGCTATGAAGGCCAAGAACAAAGCCAAAGCAATCTCAACTAATTTGAAAAAGGTAAGTTTGTTCTGCCCTGCATTTTTATGTGCATTCCCTCAAATGAGTGCTTCTGTAATACATGTTGTACAGCCAGAATAATGCAATACATTACGGTTTAGTCTCAGCTTGGACAAGATTTCCATAACTTCACTATGTTTTCTGATAACCTGATAACATAATGCCTTCTGCGATAACAACAGTATCTCACCCTTGGTAAGAAAATATCTGATCTGGATGTGAGCTGAGATTGATGTAATAGTCTAGGAATATTTATTCATTCATTATGTTGTGGAGGCGAGGGGCACATATTCAAACTATAATAGCATGGAACTATTTGAACAAATTTAATATCTCAAATTCAATTTGAGTTTATAAAAAAATTTCACTGAGTAAAAACCATCATGTTCTGTAAAGCTACTTCAATTTCGCACGTCAGTGAAATTTGTGATTTTTTGTAGCAGTGAAAATTGAGATGAATTTTGTCTTCACGAATAACATAAAATCCTGAAATTCCCCCCAAAATGTATAGAAGTGAAAATTCAATGGTTTATATTATAAAATATTCTTCCTATTCCAAAGAATGTCAACATATGGTGTAATGTGTAGGTACCATTCTTTATTGAATAGCTGTATATATATGCTGCAAAATGCGGTCTTTTCATTGAAGTGTCTGAAAATGATCGTTAAAATTCAACAAAAACTCATTTTTAATCATCAAAAAGCATAATTTCGGTGAAAAAACTATGCAAATAGTTCATAACCAGTGTCAAAAAGTAAATGAGTTTTCATGTTTGCATTTTGGTTGCCTCGATCTGGGTACTCGCGCCCCTCTACCAGGGATGTACCCCCAATGGTATTTTGCATTATGTGAATATATATAATAATCATGTTATCAACAATCCTAAACACAACAAGATAAATAGTATATTATTATCTAAATTGTATGTTATCATATTTAAAAGTAAAAAGACCCTAAGAAATATAAGAAAGAAATATAAGAAAGAAATTGGCAATAACCACATTAACAAATATCTAACCTTAGTTCATGCTTAGTTCAAATTGCACCCTTTGAAATAAATAATTTATAAGTGCCTTTTACGCACCCCAGTGAACCTAAAACTATTACCGAACAGATTTGTATGTCACTATTTGAACATCCAAATTGATTATTATGGCACCTGGCATTGAATTACAACACCAGTTGTACAGCAAACCATTTAATAGAAGAAGAAAGTCCAGGCTTTAAAGAAAACATGTGGTAAAACGGTTATGTTGTCTCGTATGTAATTTGTCAATTAGGTGGTCTGTTTTTTATTGGCGGTTTCTATAATCATGACTTGTGTGGAAGTAAGAGGGTGGTCGATCAATTTTTCTTTGAGTCTGTGATGTCTGTGATGCCATCTCTTGTTAAAAGTTGTTTTCAAATTAGTGTTGATTACATTTGCTTATGTGACCGTGTGTCTTGATGCAAAGTCGAATTATGAATCAATGTACAACTTGTTTGTATATTACAACACTGCAATCGAAAATAATTTACATAATTTAATCAATTTTATAAAAGCATATGATTTATTTCCAACCCACGTATATTGACCATATCAATGCCTGTGTGGGCTGCCCTATTAGTGCTTACTTCTCAGATTCCCTGGAAACTTACTAGTTGTTTCAAACACCGTTCTCACAGTACAAGAACTCTTAAAGAAGGTGTCACATGATTCTATCTACTTCTGTACCATTGTGTACAGAATCCACCAATCAAATTAAAGCCACTTTCGTGAAATAAGTAATCCGTGTGAACGCTGAGTTTACAAGAGGCTGCATGGTTAAGGAGTTCTTTCCTTAAAGTTTACAATACCGCCACTACTGTTAGCTTGTGTTTTATAATTATTTAGTCATGAACAAACATCCTTCCGCCAAAAAGTGATGATATTACATTTGCTGCATGCCTTTCAGTGGAACTGACAACTTTTCAACAGTTCAAAAAACAAATAAAATCTGCATGAAACTCAAAATGGAACTTATGGTAGCTGAAGTTGCCTATGTGCACAGGAATCCATTTTGGCTACAGATTTTTTTTTCACACGGTCTTTGTTTGACAACTTTTCAACAGTTCAAAAAATAAATAAAATCTGCAAGAAACTCTAAATGGTACTTGGCTAAACCTGCCTATGTGCACAAAAATCCATTTTGGCCTCAGATTTGTTTTTCACATTGATTTTGTTTGACAACTTTTAAACAGTTCAAAAAATAAGAAATAATATCAGCAAGAAACTCTAAATGGTACTTGGCTAAACCTACCTATGTGCACAGGAATCAATTTTGGCTGCAGATTTTTTTTTACATGTTGGGTTTGTTTCAAAACTGGTCAACAGTTCAAAAAACAACAAACTTGGAACTTGGCTAAAGCCACCTATGTGCACAGGAATCTATTTTGCCTGCAGATTTTTGTCTTAATTGAGCTAATTTAAAAGATTAAAATCCAGTTCTCACTAAATAACGGCATACATATCAGTACCCTGTTGATTTGGCAGACCACATGCAAGCTGTAATCGGTTCCATGGATCACAGCATTTCTCTTGATCTATAGATCTTGCCAAATGTGTTACAGTTTATTCTTCATGAATCAAAACAGTAATAATTCTAGTTCTATAAAATGTTGTGAGACAACAACAATTATCATAATGAGGCATTAAGTTAAATGAAACTTTTTTTTAATGGTGTGCACATTTTTATTTCTCTATAATACTCTTAAATCTGAACATTAGAAACTTTTGGGGGAGGGGAAGATGGCAGAAAATTTGTGAATTACTACTATTTTATTCTTCAAGATTCACCCTTCTGAATTTCTGATGGTCTGTATTTTTAATTAACAAGAGTAATTTACGATGAAAAGTCATATTATAATGCATGCAGAAAAAGATTCAATGTTTTTTTCTATAAAATATTTAGAAATGTTTTATTGATTTTAAATGACAGTCGAAAAATAACATGACCAATCACAATGACCAAGCAGATAAATACCACCTGTAGAAAATTTACAGTGGCACAGTTTGACCTTTGACCCATCCTGACAATTAGCCTGCTCCCTGAAAATGAACAAAATGTTTTAAAATTTATATGTTACCAGTAGATAATAACCTGTAGGGGTGGTAGTGCTTGTACTATTCAATATATATATATATATATATATATATATATATATATAAACGATTAGTTTGAAAAATGTTTTGAATACATTTGTAATAGTAAATCAGCCATTATTGATCGAAATTTGTAGAGGCTCATGGGTAATAGGCGCTACCAAAAAACTCTTCTTCAGCCAATGAAACCATCTTCCACTGGTTACATTTTCTAGGGTAAATGTTTACCAATACCATTCACGTCTTTTTTAAATGCATTCTATATGTAATTACCATACAATAATGTAAAATATTGAAAACAAAGCTGAAACTTCATTAATCCTTGTATGAAACTGAATTTAGTCTCCAGCTGGGCAGAATATATATTTTTAATTGATTTCCTGTTAGGATATGATTAATATTGACAACTGCAGTAAGCAAGTTAGTAATATATATCTGCTATATTTTGAATCCGGAGATCACTAACTTGTGAAGCAACGGTTTACCTATGAGATGGAGTGGAATGGACTTTGAAAGTAATTAAAATATGCTCAGTAAATTTAGAATTACCAAAATATATATATATATTATATAACTTGAATATTTTACAGAAGAAAACCAACAATAATTGCTTATAAGCACATAATCCTGAAAAAATCTAGCGCAAAACTAAGTGAAGGAGAAATATTAATGTCTAATTTTATATCATCTCCACTCCCACAGTTTGTAATGGTCAACCCTTAAAATATAAATATTGCTGTTTTCTCTGAGAATCGTCTTGTAACAATTTATATTACTTGTGCGATTTATTATTTTTAATATTTTTTTAAATAATACCTGAACAACTACAGTAAAGATAACTTGTTAAGTTTCTAACTACATGTACATGACACATTGGAGGCCATGCTACCGTAGTTTGTTTTCATTCATTGTGCATTCCTTTCAGTGCTGTATAAGTGGGTAAAGCAAAGAACTGAATATATCTGTGATACCTGAGTATACAGCAATTTCTTTTATCTACAAAATCACTGCTATATTACATGCTACATGGTTGCTAGACAATCTGCAATATGTATTGAACACCTGCCACATGGAAAGTGCATGAAAATAGCGGTGCTTTTACCATGAAAAAAATTAAAGCTAAGTCAAAACCATGGGTCTCTTTGTATTACAATGTAATTATAGTAAGAACTTTACAAATCGTTGATCTGGAAAATCCAGTTGAATTGTTTGCACCATTGCAAATTGATTTAAAACTCAGTGCAGTACACACAATATTGGTGACCTTGAATTTCAAATTTGAGCAAGAGACTGTCCTGGGGGCAACCTCATTCTTATATAGTGTATTTGAGAGCTCGGAATCCAACAGCAGCTTGGGCTCATCTTTTCACAGCCTTCGTTTTTAACTTCCTGACTTTACCACTACGGGAATGTAATGAAACTTTGTGTATATAAACTATGGGTACAAATGTATTTACATGTATATGGATGCTTCAAAAAATAAACATTATTCCTGGTAGGTTTCCACTGGTACTGGGTACTACATGTAGCGCCTTATTGCTTGGCAACAAATCCCTTTTTAATTAATGCCACTGTCAAGTTTCACCAGTCTTGAAGAAAGTACAGATCTTTACAGGATTTTACAATGTCTTGTGTGCTTTGGAGAAAGGCTTGTGAGGGACAATTCCCTCTTCTTGTCTGCAACTCGGAAGGCGTCAAAAATGTTATTGTAAAATTACCATAAATGTTTCATTTCACAATTTTACAATGATGGCATTTCATGAAGGTCAATGTGACTTTTTACAAAACAAGGTAAACAGTTCACTGTTACAAAATTTAGTGTTTTCCTGGAATTATTTAAACTTTGTCTATTGTGTCTCTTTTGATGTTAAAAGCAGTTTGTTGAAGTTTTTAAGATTTTAAAACAGTTTTCACTACTTCGAAAAAGTACAGCAAAGTGTTTTGAGGTCAAAATGTCAGCCTTGACACAGATATCTCACTCAGCAAAGTGCTGTGATAATCTCTTCGCTTGTGACATTGAACTTCAAAAGTATTTTATCTCCAGATCTATGCTGCAAGCGAGATCAGACCATGTGGCTATCAACATCTAAATCTATTTATTTTAACAATTCTTGTATTTCTCTTCAGTTAAAACTGCAGGGTAAGAATGAAGTCACCGGGAGCGACGAAATTCAGATACAAGAGTTGTTGGTACAGAAACAACAACAGGTGAGATCCAGAAAAAAATCTTCTTTAATAGTTCTGTTCATTATGCTTGTCAGCTAAAAATGTGCACATTGCAACTTATTTTAAGTTTTTTCCAAATGTTAAAAAACAAAAGAAGAATACATTTTTAATGAAAATTAAAAGTTCTTTGACAATTTAAAAAAAACGTTTTTTTGTAAAACATGGAATCATGGACAAAATGTACTGTTAATTAAAACTAAAACTAAAAACTAAACACACAGTTTTGACAAGGTCAACAACTGGAGATGCATGTCATTGAGTGAAATAAACATTATTCAGGCTGCCAGCCTACGATTAGACAAAATTTCTTTTGATTGGGTGTGGACTGTGTGGTGTTGATGAAGGCATGTTGCAGCTGCTTATTGATATACATCAATATCTTTAAATTTAGGATAGTGGAATTATCTCTGTGAATAGTACATGATACATGTATTCTGTTCATGACATCATTTCACACAATGGGGGAAAAAAGAAACCAATATATGCATTATGGTCTGTAGCAAGGAATGCATTTAATTCAATGAGACTCAGGTTACATCATTATTGTAATGTTTATTTTCATGAAGTTTAACATTGTGCATTACTGTATTGTAGCCACTCAAAAAGACCACAGAAGAAAGACCACCGGTGGATAGTACAGTGGATATGGATAAAGCTGCCGGCCAATTTGCTAATCTCTGATCATTTAAATGAGGAATGCAATATGGTTTACCACCGCTATCAACCACTCAATCGATACACCGAATACGCTTCAACACGAGGCTTAAGGTAAAAGCCTACTCAGAAATGAAAATACCCAAGGATTTGAATAAACTGCAGTATGTACTGTAAGACTGTGTATTAGCAATGTGATATGAAGTGGGGGATATTTTAAATTCAAAATATATGAATTTGGACAATGGTGGGGATTTTGTAAACTTTTTTTTAATTTTTGCGTGTTACATGCTATCTCAAACATTATACTGTGGTATAGGGTAAAAAATTCTGATTTTCTAATAAAATGATGTAGACGTCTTGAATGTTTAATACCGGTATTTATTTATTATGCAGTAATGACATATGATAATTCATTTTTAGCTGTGATTTAATAAATAAAAGTTCAATAAAAGAAGAAAAATATCTGTAGAAAATAATTTTGTATTGTTGATAGTCATTAGCATGTGCTATGTGTATAGTTGTTTTTAGAAAATATCTAACATGTTTTGAATTTGTTGTGCTATGCATTATTATGAATTTTTTTAGTGTTTTCAGACTTGATTAGATTTTCTTTTTATTTTTGATTAAGGTAGCGACAAAAAAAATGATTAACAGTTTAATTGTTATTTGGGTACCAGTTCTTATAAGCATGTAAATAAATCATCATAAGAATTTCTGAAAACTGAGATATTAAAAAATATGATTATGTATTTTTCATTTTAATATTTTCTCAAGAGAGTAAACAAGTTATGGAAGTTCTTGTGAACTTTATTAGAGACCTCGCAGTATTGAGGACATTCCCCATAAAACTGTACTTTTCAAGAAGTATGCAAATTATATCCATTGTCTTTAGCCCGGCACTCAGCTGGGTTACGTACCATACGATTGTTTACCCACGACCGAGTTTTTGAGGATAAACTGAATATGTACCAAATGCATCTCTCACAATAAATTTGGTATATCGGTACTAAAATCTGAGATTTTTTGAACAATGTATTTTTCTTAAGAGCCATAAGTTTTTTGATCATTTAATTGCACTGCAGTTGTCTAGAAATTAATCCCTGTATATGACGTATGAGGACTGTTTCAAATCTAGGTATGGAGACCCAGATTAATTCCATAGCAGTCAAAACAAGTGCTCTCACCTCATTCTTAGATGCACAGTATTAGTCAATCAATTAATAAAATAATTGGTTTGTCATAAAATCCTTCTCACAAATGGGAGGTTGTTTCAGGTCATACTAGATACAGACTTTGGCAATCCAAGCACATATCCCGCTGGCTATATATAGTATCTGATTCGTCAGTGGTTATCTGACCTGAAGGGCAAGTATGTTCTATAAACTATGCATTTGTGGTGTGAAGCCTGTAATATTTATACTAATGGTTACTGCATGCCAACATAATAAAGTTAAGTGTTTATAAATCTAGTTAGACTAAATATTAAGATTTATTTAGTCTTTGGATCGGGGTTTGTATATGAGCTCAACTTTTCAGTGTCAAAATTCAACTTTTAAAAATTAATTGGAGCTGTGGAAATTCTTCAATTTTGGATCAAGTTTGAAATTGCATGAAATAAATATTTAGTCGTTGAGAGTAAGTGAAGAAAAAAAAACTTGTGTGTTGTGAGTTGTCTGAAGTGTGCAAAGAGATTGTATGACATCTCCCTTGCGATGATATCTAACATCCTGGCGCCCGAATCTGCAAGGAAGTGACAGTTATCTCGTTTGTCAGCGCCTCGGCCTACTATTCAGAATTATCCAAACTGATATTCCGAGTTATGTTACTGATCAGCTTAGGAGGAGATGTTTTCCTTTATTTGTTCATATGGAAATACTAGTGTTAACGTGTTAACTTAGGAAGCCGCTGATCACTCCCAAATGGCGGCGGTGACTGAGGCAACAATTATTGAGCGTTTCCAAATGGTGATCAGTGACAACATAATGTGCTCTGTGATTGCTAACATTCAAAAAGTCTGTTGAGCAAAACGATATATTAATTATCTCACAGAGGTGAGAAATTGAGTACGTAGTGCCTGTAACACACAAGTATAAAATGGTAGTATTTATTCTACAAGTTGTTATGACGTCTGAGATGGAACAGAAAACTGGAAAGATACAAATGCCAGCTCAAAAGAAACTAGATATACTCCGTGGGGTTTATACTCAAAAACTGTATCTAATTTCACACATGTAAAAACACCACCAATATTTTGATGCCTTGTAACTTGTAGGTGCTTAACATGTATGGTTATCAGCTTTATTTATCCCAATCTGTTAAAGCTTTCAGCACCATTCTATGTACTTAGTTGACCTGCAAAACCATATCTAAAAGTCCCATAGGTGACAATGTATTAATATTTCATGACATTTTTGTCCTTTTTAAGCTGCAATCAATTTCACTTGCTTGGTTCTATAAAAAATAAATTTCAAAAACTTTTTTGAAAGAACATTTTATATATTTTGTTTTTTAAATCTGCTGACTTTGAAACGTACTATGTCGCAGCGGAGAGATGCTAGTAAGATAACCAGAGTGATTGCTACCATGTTCGCTGTCATGCGAGTTACCAGTACATACAGATTCCTGATAACCTACGATAAAACTACAAATGCGACATGACAGTCATTTACTTATCACATCTGGTATATTTAAAATGAAACTTTGAAAATACTCGTACTTTACTCGTAATATTCTTCCCACAATGCATTAATATAATGTATATAGATTATAAAAAAACCCACTTAAATTGTACCTGGTTACGCAGAATGAACATCATATTTACATGGCTCATATAAATAATTTCCTTTTTAAAAACTTAAGATTTAAGTATTTCTACTGGAGCTCGGCTTCCAACTATATTTAACACATTGCCATGAAACTCTTGATGAATAGCGAAAATGAATGGGGAAAAAAACACTTGTTTACGCCTGCAGTGTTAAGTTTTTGTTTAATGTCCTGTGTTTGCTTAATTACTGGTAGACCTAATTGCTGCACAATTCTCGCCTGAGCTGAACTTCAGATTATACAAGCATGTACGCAGAGTGAAGTTTGTTTCTCCCTAATTGTTAGCTGCTTGACTTCAATGCTAACATGAAGCATATATTACCTAGTGATTGTCAGCACAGCTCATTTAGTAATTTTATGTGTTTGACCTTATGTTATGTGGTTGACCTTAAAACTCATAAAATTAGTATAGTGTTATCAGCTGCCTGTTGGTTGTGTTTAATTTTGTAAAGCGTGTTCTATGGAATGGCTTGTAGGTGGTTTCAGGAAATGATTATAAATACAATGAATTTAGACCATTCTTCATAATTTATGCACTGTTTGTAATTGCCGTTTGGACTTTATTGATGCACGTAGGTGGTAGATGTCCACCGTGTGTGAGTCATTGTCGTTTACAAAATGTAATCACTGCAACAGTACAAGATACCTCATGGTTAATTAGTTATTGGAAGTACCTCTTTACACAGAGTACTTCAGACTTGATTTCCAATCCATATCTCGCTTCCGGCCTCTCAACTATGTGTGCTGGCGTTAACGACAAAGAGCATTAAATATGGGACCCATACCACATGTAACAATGAATACGCATGTGGAAAATAATAGTGTTTTTATAAACCCTGCATTACAGATTTATTTGGATAGACAAAATATTCTCTGAAACAGAAAAACACTTATTGTGTATATTATTATTGTATTTTTCTGGTGAAATAAACAACAGTTTGCTTCCCATATTCTTCCTTATATGATCCAAATTGCAAAGAAAATGTGTGAGGTGCAAACTGATGCACACAATGATAAAAGGCAAAATCTTTTCTTTTTTTTTTGACCTTTAAAGTCAAAGTCATTGTCAATTTTTAGGATGTATAATCAAATATTGTTAATTTTTTATGTGACATGAGAATGAATGAAGCAATTATGATTGCACTTTAATGCACAATTGAATGAATATCATGGGATCATGGAGGTAGAGAAATCAATCTCACTGCTAGTAGTCATGGTTACTAGTAGTTAGTGCTGGCTGATTAAAGATGCACAAATAAAAGTTATAAATGTGCTGATTTAGACAACTGCAGGAAAAAATGTACGAGCACAAGGGAAAGAATATGGAATAAATTCTAGACTATTATTCTAATGTAAACTTCAAAAAACATTCATGTTTATGGTGGCTGTGCATTGCACATCGGTTAAAAACATGCCCATCACAACTTTTGTCAGAATTTTAGAAGAAATAAAAGAAAAATTCACTTCTCATGAAAATCATACATTTAATTCTGCCTGTGGATGTTTAGAAAACAAATTGATCAGAAATGTATTTTTTTGGGGTCTAAGACAAATGTGATTTTGGGAAATGTTCTTGAAGTGAATATTCCACTGAGGTTGTTTGGAAATACAAGATCAAGTTTCCTAAATTTACAAACATCATCAAATTTCAATATTTATAACATAATTTACAATTGCTTGCAGCTCCAACCTCACAAAGATTAAGATTCATTGACAAACATACACAGCTTCAGCAAGTATATTTCAAATGTTGATCAAAATGTGTAAGCTGTAGGCAGTACAGCTCCTTTCCAAATTCCAAGATATAACATTTGGGGAGTTTACTACATCAGTACAGTACAATCCATAGAATCGGAGCCACTTCCCTAAACACTTAGACTAGATACTGTCTATGATCGTGAGACTTCGAAAAATCAATGAATAATATGCATTTATTGTGTGTGTGTGTGTGCATTGCTGGATTCCATCTACTAAGCACTATAAAATCAAATGGCACCAGTTTGCTGTGAAGTAGTTATTGTTAGCAGACTCTCATGGCACCCTCTACAGTTATATATCAGAAAAACAAAAGTTCTTCAGCTTAGGTTAGGAGGGCGCTTTTGTTAATGTTTTTCATGTGTGCATGTGCAAAGCCGTGACTGGTTAACAAGAAACAGTTGTTTGCATATGAAAGTAAAAGAATGGCTTTGTTTACTTACACGTATTACAGTTACTAAAAAACAAGTTTTTGCGAGGTAGTGCTGCTCTTGGCAGATTTCACCACAATTAACTGTATATAATGGTTCATATTTATGATACAGCAACGCTGATTGGTGGCACCAGCTCCTTGGCGCGTCTAATCAAAGAATCACTTAGTTTAACCACAGGGAGCCCAGGAACTATGATCAA